TTAAAGTAGTTGAAAAGTTAAAGTTAAAGTAGTTGAAAAGTTAAAGTTAAAGTAGTTGAAACCTAAAGTTAAAGTAGTTGAAACCTAAAGTTAAAGTATATGAAAAGCTAAAGCTGAAGTAATTTAAAAGGTTAAGTAGATTGAATATTTCCCACGTGTTGATCTCTCTGGCTGAATGAAAACAGTAGTTTAGCCCCAGCAGTTTAGTAGACTGTGTTAACCCAAAACAAGATTTAAACGCCCTGGGACATAAACACTGAGCACTAAATCCTAGACGATTTTGTAAACATGGAATTTATAAAAGTAAGTGTTTTTCACTCATTTAGACAAACTTTTGTTATTTTTAGCGGAATTTTTAACGATTTTTTAATCCAGGCAATACCTAAACATTAGAAGCGATAAAAAAATCAAAAAAATCTAAAGAAAACAATAAGAATCTTTATATCTGACAGAAAAAATAATCAAAACAATATGTTTGTCCTTGTTTCTCTAAAAAAGTTGAAAAGATGCCACTGTGTAACTACTTTAAAAACGTGTTCAGTCTCTTAAATACCAAGAAATCCGCTGTTTCCGACTCAATAACCTCGAGTTTCCCCCCGTCTAGCTAGTCTAACAATCCACCAATCTGCGTCTGATCACCCCCAAAAACAATCCTTTTCTGACGCCTTGTTATCTCCTCCTCCCCCCTTCCTCCCACCAAATCACTGTTTACATTCGTCTAACCCCCCCCCCAAATCCTTGTTTATCCCAGGAAGAATAGTTAATTTACTAATTAATTTACTAAAAACTATATAATTGACAGTTTGATGTTTACTGGCTGGGAGGTTAACAATAAATGGCAGGGTTGATCATTTTGATGCAGGATAAGAATATGATGCAGGATTAGGACAATAAGCTGCAGGATTAGGACAAGATACTAGAGGATTAGGACAATATGGTACAGGATTAGGACAAGATACTAGAGGATTAGGACAATATGGTACAGGATTAGGACAAGATGCTGCAGGATTAGGACAATATGCTGCAGTCGAGTAGGACCAGATGCTGTTGGAGTAGGACAAGATGCTGCAGGATTAGGACAAGATGCTAGAGGATTATGACAGGATGCTACAGGATTAGGACAAAATGAATATTATAAAGGGTTATAATATGACAAAGGTTAGAATATGACAAAGGGTTAGAATATGACAAAGGATTAGGATATGACAAAGGGTTAGAATATGACAAAGGATTAGAATATGACAAAGGATTAGAATATGATAAAGGGTCAGAATATGACAAAGGGTTAGAATATGACAAAGGATTAGAATATGACAAAGGGTATTAATTAAGAACAAGAGGGAAAGGGAAATAAATAAATTGAAACATATGTATAATATTTATTATAGAAATTAAATGAATCCGAATAATCAATTAAAATGAGTAATTATTGTTGGAACTAAACCAGGAAAATACTTTATATTCAGGTCTTCACTGCTAAACAAATACCTGCCTTGGAATAAAAAGGACTAGCGGAGCAAAACTTTGTTTTTTTTTAAAGAGCTGTCGACAATAATCATTGAGAGTTTTATTATATAGTTTAAGGAGAGAAAGGATATAATATTGAATTTTGTAAACTTTTTTAAATTTAAACATTGTTAAACGAATACTTATACAGTATGATCTATTTATTTTCAAAGAAATACAAAAAATCATCTCCTAGAAAAACGCGCAGAATTAAGTTAATTTTGGATTGAAAATAATGCAATTTTCCATGACAATAAGAAATTAAAAACAATTATAACATTTAATTGCAAAAATTCCCTGGATTTCTTACGTAAATAAAACTAAAATATTACCTAAATAGATCTGATTCTTCATAATGATTGCTTCAGACTTCTCGTCACCGACACTTCTGAACACCAACACTTCTTAACACGGACACTTTTCTAGGTAAAGTTTTTTCTTAGCACTTGATTTCGCCAATTCTCATAGTGTCTCTACATTCATGTTTTATATTCATGGCACACAAAAACACAATAAAATATCCTTTCTAATTTCAACTATACCTCCCCCCCCCGTCATAAACTTAGGGCAGTTATACCACCCCTAAAATATTCAATTTTATTACAAACTCACGAAAATAAAAAAAGCCAGCATTCGTCCCTCAAAATTTTATTAGTTTTAAAAACGTATTCATCGATTTTAACAATTTTGAGATTTGTCTTATATTTTAAACTTTTTATTCAAAGAGCAGAAAATTTGTGGGGGGGGGGGGATAAAAAGGGGAAAAATAAATGAGAATGAAATTCGCTATCAATTAATAATTTAATTTTATCATCTAGAGCAATGGCGCTTTTCATTAAAAAGGAGACTTAAACCTTTGTTAGATGGCGCTTAGCCACATCGATTGAAATCGATATCGACAAAAACTTTTGAATTGAAGAATTTAGGTTTAATTTCGAGGATACGTGGGTCAATCCACCAGGAGATAATCAACAAATCATCCAAAAAATGGGTATCTGTAAGTTGAAATCGACTGGACACGTTTAAAATGAAAAAGTTTTAACTTCAGATAAATTTAGTTAAGATGCAAATGTGTAAAATCTGTCCGTTAAATGTCTAGTTCTCGTATTGTACTAAGCAGTCTAAGAACTGTTGAATAAGAACAGGTCTAGTCAAGGATTATAATTGCTGAATATTTCTTCGCAAAAAACTTGAGTGTTTTGCTTTAGGGGTCAGCTCTAGGGTTTACTGCAATGCATATTTAATTTCTTATGAACAAGAAAGAAGATGGTTGCTGTGTTGTTGTTCTTACTTAGGTCTGGGTCTAGGTCTAGGTTTTAGTCTTTTTCTGGGTCTAGGTCTCATTCTAAATTTTTTTTTCTTGGTCTAGGTCTTGCTCTTCAAGTTTTAGTTCTAGTTCTAGGTCTCATTCTAGATCTAGTTCTAGTTCTAGTTCTAGTTCAAGTACTAATTTTAATTCTAGTTCTCGTTTTAGTTCTAGTTCTATTTGAAGTTGTAGATCTAGTTCTAGTTCTAGTTTTAGTTCTAGTTTTAGTTCTAGTTCTAGTTCTAGTTCTAGTTCTAGTTCTAGTTCTAGTTCTAGTTCTAGTTCTAGTTCTAGTTCTAGTTCTAGTTCTAGTTCTAGTTCTAATTTAAGTTCTATTTCTAGTGTTCTAGTTCTAGTTCTAGTTCTAGTTTAAGTTCTTATTTTAGTTCTAGTTCTAATTCCTAAATTTTAGTGCAAAATTTCTAAGAATAAAAATCAATTTTTTGCCCATCGCGTCTCCCATCGAATTAATTCACTTTTGTTCACTTGTCTTTATAAAAACTAATACCAAGTCCACATTTAGCCTAAAACTAAATGTTGTTATTATCATGAAAATATGAATATATGCCTATATAGTGATGTGTCCGGGTCTACGTCAAATCTACGACTGAGAGTGGAAGAAGGCGGTGTAAACGTTTTATACATATAATGCAAAGGATACTCAATATACGTTCAACAGACACCACACACAGACACACAAATATGCAACAGACAAACAAACACAAACTTATATAACCAATAGGAATTCCAGGGAATAGAACGCAGACTCAAACTCAATTAAAGTTTTGTATCCACTATATGATGTTTTATAATTATTAGTGTTGTGCAGTAAAGACAGAAAAAAAAGCATTCCATAAAATCCGTTTTATCAAAAAAGTTTAAAGCTCTGAATCTTTTAAAAGAAAACATGATAATGTGACCCATATTCTTTAATTCAACGAAAACGTGAATAAAAAACTAGTTTAAACGCATTTTTATAAAAACTTTAAATCTCGGGGAAGAGAAATAAATGACGTTATCTTAAGTCATCTATTTTCTACCAAAAAATAAAAACATATATTGGTTACATGCAGTTTTTGGGAAAACGAAATGATAATATCAAGGATTTAATTCCATGTAATATGCAACATGCATGTACCACTGATGCTGAATTTCGTTAAAGTACCGTGTCTTATTTCCTTACATACATTGCATACATGAAAATATTGTAAAAGAAATATTTAATATTTTATGAAATAGAAGTATTATCCTGTTTGAAATGCGCTAAACTACTATATTCTTATTTAGCATATATCAATATATTGTTGGATACAGAGATGCCCACAATCGACATTGGAATCGTCCTATTTAAAGTGTTTTAGATCGTATTTACAATCTCATCCTTTATTTTAAATATCTGCAGTTTGAAACATTAATAGCACAGGATCCCGTTAAGTCCTAAAAGTATTCCAATTACATATTTGTTAAATCTCAAATTGTGCCAATCTTGAATCTGTTTACGACTGTTGAAGATAACAGTCTACGCTCGGGTTAGCTCCAACTGTTACATCCTGCCTCTGGGTTTATAATCCTTCTATTCTATTCTATCCTATTCATGTTCTATCCTATTCTATCCTATCCTATTCATGTTCTATCACGTCCAACAGATATTGTGTCATCTTCCAGATCCCGTTCTGTCGTGCATACTTATCCTAACCTATTCTACTCATAAACCAATCCTTTTCCTCATCCAACCCTTCCTTATACAGCCCTTCCTTATACAGCCCTTCCTCATCCAACCCTTTATTATCCAACCCTTCCTCATCCAACCCTTCCTTATACAGCCCTTCCTCATCCAACCCTTNCTCATCCATCTCTTCCTCATCCAACCCTTCCTCATTAATCTCTTCCTCATCCAACCCTTTTTCTTCGAATCCTTCATTATCCAACCCTTCTTCATCCAACCTTTTCTCATCCAATCCTTCCTCATCCAACCCTTCCTTATCCAACACTTCCTTATAAAGCCCTTCCCTTTTCTACCCATCTTAATCAAATCCTTTCTCATCCAACTCTTCCTCATCCGACCCTTCCTCATCAAACCTTCTCTCATCCAACGCTTCCTCATCCAACCCTTCCTCATTAAACACTCCTTATCCAACCCTTCCTTCTCCAATCCTTCCTCATCCAATCCTTCCTCATCCAATCCTTCTTTTCTTCATCCAATCCTTCCTAATCGAACCCTTCTTCATCCAACCCTTGTTCATCAAACCCTTCTTCATCCAATCCTTCCTTTAACTTTAACTTAAATTTCCGGAAATTCCTCTAGACCTTGTTTTTTTTGGCTTTGAGAGAAAACAGCGTTCTGACGTCTTGTTATAGGATTATCCATTAATTTGAAATAGTTATGCAAATGTGTGGTTTTGTACAGGACGATTTTCTATTTTCTGGGGGATTTTTTTATCTACTTCGTAACGAAATTTTAAAAGTTATAAAAACATCCTGTATGCGACTGTTCAAGCTAAATAGATTAAAAAAACTAAACAATTATCGTCACTCCATATAAAGTAAAATTAGATGTTTTAAATAGTCGTTTGTAGAAATTATTAAAACAATATATTATTTTTCCTTGCAATTTCATTAGTGTCTTTGGGCTTAATTTTTTTCTAAAAAGTTAGAAATGGGGTAACACTAAAAGGCACATTAGAATTAAAAGAAATAATAGAGGGTGGGGTTGCAATGTTGCTAAAATCCTATTTCAATTGGTTTTTGATGATTATAAAAGTGAGTATTTGGTTTTGAATTATCATTGTTATCATTAAGTAGTTTAATTGAACCAGCCCCACCCTCCCCCCTCTCTCACGTACTTTTTTGTGACCCTCCACAAAATAAGACAAGGCACGATTCACAATTGTACCTTTGGAGCCTTTGTAAAATCATTAATGTAGAAGATATTGTCGTTTTTCTAGGTTTGATCCAGTATGTTTAATTTCCTCAAGTAGAATTACGCAAGTCACTTTAGTAGAGAACCCGCAATTGAAAATAATCAGTTTTAAGAATTTTAATCAGTGATATTTAACTAATACAAGTTTAAAGCTTTCCAGGTCACCCACGCCAAACTAAAATAAAATTAAAATCTTTAATGTTTTTATTCATATCTCATCTTGTTGAAGACCTTTGGAGAAGAACACAAATGTTCTGAAAAGTTACCGAAAAAATCAAAAGTAATGCTGCATAAATTTTAGCTTCTCCTTGTGTCACCATAGTTTCAGTAGAAGTACATATTTCCATTTACTGATAGCGCCGATTGAAGAATTCATAACTCTGATTGGATAATGAGATAGATAGAAAGATAGTTGTTACCGCCACGCAATTTCTATTGGTTCAGAATAGACAACAAACACATGGCTGAATCCTTATTGGATCAGGAGCTTATGAACCCGGCACACTAGATTGGTGTCCATAGTTTGCAGTGTACTGTCGTGAATCGCGTTACGTGAAATAACGCTAACAGTCCCTTTAAGATCTAATTTAGTCCCCGCCCCCTTTATACTTACTAGATGTATCTTGTTTATCATGTTCTTGGAGAAATATTTATGTATATCTGGAATATGGAGTAGCTGGAAGTAAATTATATGCATTATATTATCATGTGTACATTTTCAATCTGATAATAGTATATATATATATAGAGGACAGAATAATAATTAGGAACATGCATTTACAAATACCAAATACAGGCTCTCCAACAAACATAAGATTTAAACTAAGGAGAAGCAATGACGACCTTAAATCTGTCTTGCGCATTTAAATTTTGTAATGAGCGAAACATATTATTGTGGTTATAAAAGTATATATACTGCTGTATAAGCCCATTAATAAATATATATACTGCTGTATAAGCCCATTAATAAATATATATACTGCTGTATAAGCCCATTAATATATATATATACTACTGTATAAGCCCATTTATAAATATATATACTGCTGTATAAGCCCATTATTAAATATATACTGCTGTATAAGCCCATTAATAAATATATATACTGTTGTATAAGCCCATTAATAAATATATATACTGTTGTATAAGCCCATTAATAAATACTAATTAAGAAGTGAAACACCTCGCATTTAATAATAGTTTGCATGTTTTCTGAAAGTCGCTGACTGCAGTTCACTTATATTTAT